TCTTTGATTTTTTTATACTCTATATTTTGATTATTGTGATTCCTTTTTAGCGTTTTAAAAGCTTTATTTCGTGACTTAATTGCTTTTTCACATTCTTTTGTCCACCATGGTACTATTTTTTTCTTATTCTTTCCGCCTTTCTTCTTTATTGATTTGTTTGCTGCCTCCACAATAGCTGAACATATTGATGTATTTAATTGCTCAGTGTCTACWTTTAAATCTATTTTTGCCATTTCCTTATCACTTACTCCCAAAAATGTTGCCCACTTATCAGCGAAGAACTGTTCCTCAGGTCCTCCTTATGAAGCCAACAGTGATGAGTCAGATTAGTAGCAGCTGCAGCCACTTGGAGGTGGTAGCCAATCAGGAACCAAACAGGTGAGAACATGAAAAAACACTGAATGCCTGCAGGTTTGGCTAATTTAATTGGTTTAACAAACCAACATGATTTAATATGATTTAATAATCTCATAATTAAGTTGAAGCAACCTAATATTAATTTAGATTTTTTTTGTAACATAAAGCTGACAAATTACTTTAGTTGAGTTGATCTAACTTACACACAAATATCCATGCAATTTACTTTTAAAGTTACTAAAGTAATTTTTCATGTTAACTTTTCCTGTTTTCCAGTGATGACAAAAGTTTGTGTTCAATATACTCAAACATTTAAGTGAATGAGGTGTTTTTTGTTGTTGTTGTTGTTGTTTTTGTTGTTGTTTTTAATTTGTTTGTTTGTTTGTTTGTTTGTTTGTTTGTTTGTTTGTTTGTTTGTTTTTGTTTGTTTTGTTTGCTTATTTGTTGTGGTGCTCTGCCTTTTCTCTGCCTTTTAAAAATAATTAGCCAACTCATGGAAACGTGTACACATAGACAACTTAATTTTTTGATGCTGAAAAATGTTTTTATGTTAAGTTCACACCATGAATATTTTTTAGGGTGCAGCACGTCCAGTGACATTTCCAGCAGGAATATTTCTACTAGAATAACTGTGTCAATGAAAACAGTAAAGTTTTATAAAATCAAAATTGCATAAACCACAATAAAATCTTTGGGATTGGAGTCATAAGGAATCAGGGATCCACTTTTGACCCCGCTCAGAGTAGCCATTAGCTTTTCAGTCCAATAAGAATTTAAGTTTATTTCTCTAAAATCAGTTTGTTTTAAGACCTTTATCTGCAACCTTTTTAAATCATTTGGACTGTCTCTCTAAGCTGGTTCAAAGTGCAAAATTTCCACAACGTTCTACATGAGGATTAAACATTGATTAAAGCTCACGTGTTTTAAATGTGGACGTTAAATGGTAAACATTTAAAAATAGAAATTCATCAGCTCAAGTGAAAAATAGTTCAAACTTATTTCAGAACAACAAATAAAATATATACATATTTAGGTAAAGAGTCACCCTGAATAAAACTCCAATGAGAACAAACTCAAAAAATCCAACTCCTTTAAAGTTAAACTTCTCAACTTCAGAACAGGAAGAAAATAAAAGTATTTTGTTTATTATCAACATATTTGATTTGGACTCATGATGCAGCTGCCTCACCGAGCGATTCAAGTCTCAACCTCCCTGTGAAGTCCTTTACATCAGAGCTCCATTAGTTCCTGCTGCTCCTTCATTACATCAGGTGAAACATCAGGTGGCTTTTATTGTGAAGCAGTGAACTCATTTTCTATGTCATCTATCTGTCTGTTATCATTCCTCAATAATGCGTTAAAATAAAAAGACAAAAACAAGAGGCTAGCTGTGCATCAGAAAGTCTTATAGTTCATTAATCTGTTAGTGGTTTTATTCCTCACTTACTGGTTGTTGCTCATTTGTTTATCTGTGAGTTGCTTTGATTGCAATAATGTGTTAAAATATTGAAAGAGCCAATTAGTGAAGACTAATTAGCATCAGTCAACACAAAAATGACTGACTCGATCAATTTGACTGATTTTGAGATAGAATTTGGTTTGGTGAAAGCTAAGAGTCACTCCCAGCACACAACACAGGGATTAATACTGTAGATCAAGAACTTTGCTTAAACTTTGCTTAAACTTTGCCAGTAACTGTTGAAGTCAACCTGATCCAAAATGGCAGCCAGGGCTAATCTACCTTAGCCAACGTAATAATGGCTATAAGTCTAATGAAATGACGATTTTGTGTCAGAAGCTGAGAGTCATTAACAACAATGAGAGCTAACAGATCATAAACAAGATTTCCCATTTTTGAGTGAGAATGATTTCAAGACCTAAACAGCTTGAACTGTTGTTTCTCAGCATAAAATAGTTTTACTGTAAAACTATGGCATCATTTGAAATTTGAACAGCCGTCAAACTAAAGCATGATCTGAAAATGTATTCAGTTGTTTTAAAGTAGACATGTGATGCTTTTAAATCCGTTTTCACATTTAAATCCTTCATTTTGGGTGTATACAAAGTGGAACTACAATGCTTTTGCCTGAATTTCTCCTTGTTGTAACTCCACAAACCCCACCTCTTTTCTAAGGTGTGTCTCAGATCAATTCATTTTAAGGCTGTCTCTTTAAATGCAAATGAGATGCTTCACACCCCGCCTCCCTCCAGCTTCCAAACCAGTTCATTCCAGTTTGATAGAGGGAATTATGATTATCTAGCAGTGCAGAAAATTTTTATTTACAAACTAATTAAAATATGTCAACAAGGGAGGACTTGTCCATCCTGCCTTACATGTTGGAGCCAGAGTCTGACCCAGAACCTCTTAGAAATTAGAGAAAACTGAACAGATTGAAAAATATGATCCAAACAGAACATAAATATATCTATGCAACACCAGGAGAGAATGAATTTAAAATGTCTGCCTCCTAGAGTCTCTAAGTACACAACAAAATAAATTTAAATGTAAAAAAGTGGATTTTGCACGATATGTCCACTTTAAACAACTAAAAAGTTCAAGATCAGCAGTTTCCAAAAGTAATCAGATTTCACATTCAACTCTTCATGTTTTTATGTCTGAGTGTCGTCCTTCTTTGTTTGAGGTTTGTTTAATCAAACACGGCTCTGACGGGTGATTACATCATTTCTCTTGCAGCTAAAATCCCTCACAGTTGGTCTGAGCGCCGATGGCTGCCTCGAGCTAGCACCAAAGCCTGTTGTACTGTGATCTGCTGCGAGGCTGGTGCCAGGAGGGAACATTTGTTCACTTGTTGCCAAGTCCCAGTCAGATGCATGACTCACGCTTGACGCTCCATTTGATGGGACTGCTGTCCTGCAGACCCAGCCTTTTGTCCAGCTCCTCCAGGATCACCTCCAGCTTGCGGATCTGAGCGGTGTTGGACAGCGCTATTTCCTCCACAGACAAGTCCATGCTGGCCAACCGGCCTGCAAACCCCACAAAAGAATATTTTAACAGAAATCACTCGGACTGCTTTAGTCAGTTATTTGCTTTTTATTGTGATTGAAATTTTAAATGAAAGCATGGTTTGGTTAATAGAATATCAAAGAGTGTATCATCTCACACAGCAGGTGATGAAGAATCAGTCCATCGTACAGATCCTCCTCCAGACTCTGAACCACTATGTGTTCTGGTTTCAATGTCCTATTGATCCAATCAACCAAAGCCTCCCAGGACACAATTAATCACAGTCAGAAACATCAAACACTTTCATCTTTTCACAAATGCTTTTCTTTTACCAAGGCGGCAGATAAAAAAAACCCCAGCATGGAACCAGTTTTCTTTTATTCTTTTTATCAAATCCCAAAATTAGGCAACACTAAAATAGATGTAAATGCAGTCAGACACAAAGTGCAATCCTACAAATAACTGTTTCACTTTTCCTTTATGTTTAACAAAGATGGTTTTAGGTGTGATCCAGCGGGCTCCTCACTGTGACACTATGACCCATCTGCCGTCATTTCTCATAATTATGGTCATTAAAATTTCACTAATCCTTCCGCCTCATCAGATATTATTCATGCACCTCAGCACACATATACATGCAGGAGCGTATATACTCAGACAAAAACATCACACAGGTCCTAATTTATGGAATGTGACACATCCTGAATGTTGAATAGAAGACAGAAATAAACACAAAAGACTATAAATTATTTCTTACCTCTTTCAGCTTTTCCAGTTTGGGGTCCTTTAAAGATGTTGGCTGGATGAGCTTTCTCTTCTCTCCTGGGTGGAAATGAAAACAATCTTATGTGAGAAAAAGTAAACTTTTTATTACACATTGCTTGATAAGTTTTGTCTATCTTTGTTAGTTTTTTTACGTTTTTAACAGATTTAATTGCTTTTGACCACTCATTGTATGATATCAATCAGGCATTTTGACAAAATAAAGTCAGCAGCCTTGAATCTAATCATCAAAGACACATTTTCATCAGTATTGTGAGGCTGTTTGTTTTCTCCAATTGCAATAAAGACATTATTTATATCATTTGGTCTCTCTCTACTGTGAACTGTGAATGAGAGAAATAATTAAGTGCCCATCTTCCTTCATCAATGAGCACAATTTAGTCTGCCTGTGTCTGGGTTTGTTCCTCTGCCATGTCAACAAAATATCTGATCAAGAAAACTTTGCCCTCTCAGAAAGTCTGATTCACGATGGCAGCAAAGCAATCTTAACAAACACATAAACAGCTTTGTGTCTATCACTTTCTCACATACTGAACTCAAATTGAGTCTGGTTGCTGAGCATCAGCACCAATGCAACACATTACAAAATATCTTTGCTTAAAATGTTGGAGTAAACTCATGTTTGTCCGCAGGCAAAATACTTCACAAACCACTAGATGGATTTTAATGAGACTACCAGAAAATGATCATTAGTTGTGCATCCACAACCAATTTGGAGTCATTTAAATCTAAGCATCACAGATAATTAACCTCGGCCAACAGAAAAGCTCTATAATGTTGTCAAATTTACAAATATAGAGCTGCTGGATATTCTTCTCTGTCTACTGGAACTGTTCCAACTCTCTTCAACCTTGCAGTTGTCACTCCAATCTTTAAAAAAAACTGGATCGGATCCAAATATTTTCAGTAATCCCCATTTCTAACCTTCCATTCATCTCCAAAATTCTAGAAGACAGTTGCCTCTCATCTCAGTTTAACCACAAACAGTTCATATGAACACATTTTGAACCTCAGAATCACCAACACTCTTCTCACGGCAGCAGATTCTTACTCTCTCTTCTCAGCCTCCTCGATCTGAGTGAAAGTTTTTGATACCATCTCCCTCAACATCCTTCTCCACAGGCTTTCATTTATACACATCAACCACACTCCCCTCTCTTGGTTTCACTCATATTTCTCTGGCCATATTTTTTCCATCCATTCATCCATTCATCCATCCATCCATTATCTATACTGGTTTCTTCTTTTCAGTGTCACGGGGGTCACTGGTGCCCATATCCAACAGTCACACTGCGAGGGGCGGGGTGCACCCTGGGCAGGTCGCAAGTCCATCACAGACATGGCAGTCTGTGATGGACTGAGAGACACTGTTGCTGTCCCTCCTTTTTTTTATCTAACTTAATTCATTTAGATCCCTCTCCTCCGTCCTGACTTCAGGTGTGCCCCAAAGCTCTGTCCTGTGGCCCCTTCTTTTCATCATCTACCTTCTCCCCCTTGGCAAAATCTTCCGTACATTTAACATCCACTTCCAACCTCTTCCACTTACTCCAGACATCAGTAATACTGACTCTCTTCTGACATTCAGATCACAACTCAAAACTCACCTGCTCAAGTTAGCCTTCTCACTTTATTTAGTTATTTAGTGTGTTTTTCATGTTGTAAAGTGTCGTTGGGTGTCATGAAGAGCACTAACAAATATTGTTCTTATTATAGAACTGTGGTCTTAGATGACAGTCATTCAACAAAAGCTCATTTAACATCTTTTGCTCTTTTTAGCTTTGAGCCAGTATTCTGCTTCACAAATGTGATTAACCCTTTAAGCCCACAGGGTACTAGTACATTATTAGTACAGTATTACAAGTACTATCTCCTTCAGTTCTCCTGTGGGCACCCATCAGGCTTCTTTCACGTGCGATATGTCAATGAAGGTTGGTACTGTTCTTTAACTATGATTGTATTTTTTCTATTCAGAAAATGCAAGATCATTTGTTGCAATGTGTTTCATTAGAACTTTACTGAAACTGTGATCTCAGCCACTTTAAAGGCACACAAACCCTGAAACGTCTCCACATCCACAGGATCCTCCACTTTGTGGTACTCAAAGATGTCTGCCTCCATCAGTGCTGCTCTGGGTGATGCAGCCACTTATCACAAGCTGCAAAAGAGTCAAGTGCTTACTGTAAGTGCAAACAGCAGCAGAATAATAATAATAATAATAAACATCTTTAGGTTTAGGCTTTAGCAGAAAGTGTCAGTCAGCAGCAGCTTGGAAAATAACGGTCTGCTGCTGCTCTGACCAGCAGGGGAACAGCATGATTGTATCTTCGGGTAACTTACAGATGAAAAGTCAAAGTGCTTCTCCTGTTTTTTGCTTTTAAAGTACAAAGAGAAACTAAATGGTGCTGAGCTCCAGAATAGCACTCTTCTAGTTTCTTTTTAGTTTTCATACAGAAGATTTTGCAACCAGCATATAAAAGTCACACAGAAGCACTGAACTGGTTCGAAACTTGTCAGACTAAAGAAAGGAAAGTGTCTGGTTTTCTGTAGTTTGTCAGCAGCAGGTCTGGGAGTGCAGGTCTCAGAACCTCATGGTCTGAGACAAAACACACAGGCCTGACATGAAGCGTGTCAAGCTGTTGTTTTCTGGATCTGGAGAAGGAAAGCCTCTGCGAGCAACTTTTCTTTTCTTTTCCCCCACACGCGCATGTGTTTTTTTATGTTTGTGGCTTCCATTTCCTGAGGTTGACAGTAACTTTCAAACAAGGTCATAAACAAAAATGACTTTCTTTTGGAACAAGCTTACCTTCAGTTCACTGCAGAACAAAACTGCAACTGAGTTGAGGGAACTTCTGCTCAACTGAATGCTGACAAAGAAGTCAACTCACAAACCGTCAAAACAAAAATAAGAAGTTGTTCTGAAATCTGAAAGGAGGCTCCAATGAGATCTGTTACAGCAAAAAGACCCCAAACACTCTGTTTTAAATCGTTATTGTAGAAGAGGAAAGAGTTTCAGGGTCAAAGGGGAAGATAAGCAACGAAACAGAGGATGTGGAACAAGAAGAAGCACTTCCTCTTTCTGATGCAGGCACTGCAGCAGACGCTTTACAAATAAGGGCATTTGTGTTCAGTGTCACGATTTGTATTTGGTACTTTAATAAATACACGACTGTGTGTGCTGCAACGGCTGCTGGGTACAAATGTTTTATTTGGAAATCTGCACCTCAAGAAGCCTGAGAAAAACGTGACAGTTTGAGGCCTAAATCACTCAAGGCTGACTCACACATCTCTGTCTGATTGGTTGACTCAATTTGTTGACATCTGGTCTCCAGTGTTTTTATGTTTGTTTGTTTATTTGTTATGCATCATCCCCCCTCAAAAAATTAAGTATGAAAGACAGAAATAGAATAACAAAAAAACAAACAATTGTGTGGACTGTTTTTTTTTTTTGTTTGTTTGTTTGTTTGTTTGTTTGTTTGTTTGTTTGTTTGTTTGTTTGTTTGTTTGTTTGTTTGTTTTTTAGAAAAGAGAAGAAATAACCTATCACACAGATGAAGGGGCAATTTGGGGGATGAGGAAGGTTACCATAGCAACAAAGGTATTAGACAAGAAAATAAAGGCCAAAAATAAATCCATAATTCCTTTATCCAACCCAAATTGCAGGAATTGGCTGCTCCAAAGCCAATCTCCCTCAAAAGCCAAAGCAAATCTAACCTATCACACGTGAAAGGGATCAAATAAAATCCTCATTCCGTTTGAGTTCAGGCAGTTATTCCTTGATAGGAAAGATGAGGGAGAAATGTGCACAGCTGAGCCATGCGGGGCTATCTCAGTCTTAACTTGGCCATTCTCTCAATTATGCAGTTTGGTTTTAAAATGCATGAACAGACGTGCAGTGTGCATCTTAGCAGGTCCCCAGCATAAAGGCACTCTGACCCAGACTTTCCTGGGAAGGTAAATTAAATATATATATATATATATATATATATATAGTATGTGAAACCGTGGACACTAAAGATAAAGACAGAATATGAAAAAACTCAGTTGTGATTTTTCTGTGAAGGATGAGGATATAGTGAGATGCTTTGCTAATGTTTCTAAAAGGGTTGTCATTCAACATAACATGCATTAGAACCAAAAGAAGTGATTTTAAAATTAGTTAACAGTCTCTCTACGTAACTAAAAATGGAACAAAAACAACACTTAAAGCTGAAACTGAGAAATTTCTTTCTGTCATTTGAAGGAGCACAGAAATGTTCAGAACCGTGTTACATAATCTCTTCTGTTAACACTGGAGGGTTTTGGACACCGTCGAGCCCAGCTGCTGGGAGTTTGATAGATAAATGTTTCCTTTTTTTCTTGTGACAGTAACAGTTTTTTGTGATACTTGCTGTTTATTAGTGCAGGCTGCTCACTTAGCACCTGCTGTCTTTAACCACAGAGATGTAATGCTAGAAAGCAGAAAGAAATGCAGAAAGTAGGTGGGCATTATCTGGCAGCTTTAAAGGTTTGTCTGAGTAAGAAGCTGTCTGAATGCCTCAACATGTTTCCCCAAAACTGATGTAAATGTTCCGTCATAGATGAGCAACTTACCCAAGTTACTTTCAGGAATCCCAATAACTTTTGATCTGTGTGCTGGTAAAAAGCTTTCACTCTTCTGTTTTTTAGACATAAAGATGGAGTTTTTGTGTTTGTTCATGAATAATCAGAAGTTGTACTGGTCAGACCATCGTAACCTGGATTCTTAGGTCCACATAAGGAGGCATTTTTGTTTTTAGAGGTTTCTCTGAACCTGCAAAGTAATCTGTGTTTGTTGCAAAGCCACCTGAGGAAACAAAATTTGGATTCTTAGAAAAAGAATGATACAGTGACCAGAAGACTGTTAAATATATGTGTAAACTCAATACATATCTGTTCATATTACATCTTAAAGGTGCTTATTAAACATTTCAGATTAGGTTACTTTGTAGGCACAATAATATACTGGAGACACATTTTACATGTAATATTGTACTGTATTACTGTGTTATGCATATCCACAACTATCGAAGGGAGTCTTATAGTAAAGTGTAAGACAGTACACCATTTATTAATGATTAATAAATATGTTTAAATGTCATAAGAGAGCCTTTGTGCTGTTTTACACTTTACCATAAGGCTCCCATCGATAGTTGTACATTTGTATAATGCAGTAATACAGTACAATATTATATGTAAAATATGTTTTTCCAGTATACATTATTGGTCTTACAAGGTAGTAAACTAGTCTTAATAGAGCACCTTTAGATGAACAGATTTGGCTCACAATTTGGCAAGAAACCGAACAGTTTTGTCTCTTAGTTGACCTTAATTAATGCATAATAAACACTTATTAATGATTTATAAAGTGTTTACAGATGAATTAATAACATATCTATAAACTATTTATAAGACATCTATAAGGGGAGCCTTATTGTAAAGTGGTACCAAAATATTTTAAAACTCAATTTCTTTTAATTAAAAGCAAATAAGAATAACCATTTTGTCATTCATCATGAGTTATAAATAAAATCTGAGCATTTTGTTTTTATTATTGGCTGCAAATAAAACAACCCTCAGAAAATTAAAACTGGTTTTATTTCATTTTTTGTATTTTTGGTTCAACACAAAATGTGACAAGAAGACCTAACCAGCATCTGAATCTGCAAAACGTTAAAGTGGTTATCAAACGTTGCTTTTATTTTTTACAACAAAGAAAGCATTTGTCCAAAGGATTTTTTTGGTCTAAAATTGACCAAAAATGGATTAGGAGATCATGATTTTTTTTTAGTTTTGTCAACTTTCTCATATTTTTTGCAATGAGGGCAATTAGATTGTTAGACACGCAAAGATTTTCTAACTTTCTGATTTTCCCATTGCGGCTGTTTTCAAATGCAAAGCTAAAGGTCGTTGTGCTTCTTGCATCGCAGATAACTTTGGAGGATGGAATAAATAAAAACTGACATTTGGAGATGATTAAAGGCCAACATTCGGAGCATTATTCAGGCTCCCTCCTGCACCGCTCCCCCACCCCGGGGGTCTTTTTAGGCTGCACATAATGATGCGTTTCAGTCCCAGGTGGTCTCGTTCGGGGTCCAGACTGTAATGATGTCAGCAGGCACAGAGCAGCGCTCAGATGTCAGAGCTGAAACTTCAACCTTCAGTCCGAGTTTTTGTAGTTAGTGAACAGATTGTAAAGGACTCTGAGGGTGGACTTCAGGTTCAGGTTCACAACATCTGAAGATAAAAAAAAGTGGAGTTGTTAGTTTGATGGAGGAAAAACAGTGTTGTGTAGAAAAACTGCTGGTGTCCCTGAAACAGAGAACTAAAAGAATGTTCTTCCTTTAAGACAGATTTACATCTCACAGCTTAAACTCGCATGATTCTTGGACTGCTCTCCTTCAACGTGTTATTTGCAGTTCTGAGACAGAACTGCAGCTTAAAATAGATCCCAGGATTTCACAAATGATTATCATATGATGTACTACTCCTTATAGCAAGAGACTCAGAAGATAAAAAGTAGGTTTCTGTTTTCCTCTTGCTGCTGGTGTTCTACATAAGAGGACAAATGGAGGTGATCAAACACAACTAGGTCTGAGTTAAGTGTTCCAGCCGGACAACAGCAACACTTCTGTTTCAGTCTGATTCTATAGTTTAACATGTAAATTTTTTTTAAATTTGTTAAAATAATTATATATGATATAATTGTGTTCTGATCTTTGTTTCTGTGGCCCCTGCATTAAAGAGCACTAAACAAATGTGGTACAAACAAAATTATTGACTTAAAATGAGGCAACACTAAATAGCAGTGATGAGTTTAACATATTTCTGGCTGTTTTAATGTGTTCAAACAACAGAATAACTTGTATACTGACCTCTTTTACATGACAAATATAATTCTGCTAAACTACTTTGGACAATCATGTGGAGCTAGTGGGTCATATTTGCACCTTTCAGTTAAGTTTTTCTTTCAGTTTTATTTTATTCATCATAGGATGTTAGAGGTTAAAACAAGGTTTCCACCTACTGGACAAGCCTTATTATGACGGATTTTCTAAGAGATTCAACAGTTCAGTACCTCATAGAAGCATTCCTGTTATCCTGCCTTAAATCTTCTATAGAAATGTAATGTGTTACTCTATATTTGATGTAATATTGTTATAAAATAGTAAAATACCTTCTGGTCTTGCTTTGGGTTTTTTCAGGCCTCCATCCTGCATCAGTTCAAAGGCAAATGCTACATTATGAACCTAAATGGAAACAGAACATAAAGTTAATGCATTCTTCTCTTACTTTTTTTTCTAATTTCTTAAATTTTGCACATTTTCAAGATAAAACAACCTTCTGCTCAAAGCTCTCAGGGGTCAGGAAAAAGTTGTACAGAGGGACAAAATAATCTTCCAGCAGCCCCATCAGTAAAATCAAGTAAACTCCATCTGCAAACTAAACAAAATCACACATATTTTATCCATATACACACACATTCAGCCGAAAAGATTACATAAACACAGCACACTATCTGATATTGACTGAAAATATTTTAAGTAAAAAACTAACAATAAAAACATGCATAAAATTCACAATCTATAATCATCTCCTTTGTTTTATTGACACTCAAGATGAGATGATTGTTCCCACACCGTGCCACAAAGTGGTCCACCAGCTCTCTGTCCTCAGCTTCCTGTCCWTYTCTGATWCACCCAACAACTGCAGAGTCATCTGAGTATTTCTGTAGATGACAGCAGTCTGACTTGTGCTGGAAGTGTACAGTGTGAAAAGGAGTGGTGAGAGTACAGTTCCCTGTGGTGCTCCTGTGCTGCTGACCACATGGTTAGACACACAGTCCTTCAGTCTCACAAACTGTGGTCTGTTTGTCAGGTAGTCTTTGATCCAGGTGATTGTGAGGTCTCCACCGGAGTCTTCTGGAGTTTCAGACAAAGCAACTCAGGCTGAATTGTGTTAAAAACACTGGAGAAATCAAAGAACATGATCCTCACAGTGCTGCCTGCTTTGTCCAGATGACAGTGGGTTTGTTGAAGCAGGTGTATGATGGCGTCTCCAACTCTAACTCCACGACGATAAGCAAACTGCAGGGGGTCCTGATGTGTGCTTGTTTGCTTACTCAGGTGGGTCAACAGGAGTCTCTCTAGGACCTTCATGATGTGGGATGTCAGGGCAACAGGTCTATAGYCWTTKAGGGCTGATGGGTGAGTTTTCTTTGGTACTGGAACCGGACAGGATGTCTTCCACAACACTGGCACCTTCTCCTGGGTCAAGCTAAGGCTGAAGAGGTGTTGCAGAATCCCACAGAGCTGGTCTGCACAGGCCTTCAGGATTCTGGGGCTGACACCATCTGGACCTGCATCCTTGTTCTGGTTCAGTTTCTCTAGCTGCCTCTTCACCTGACTTCTAGATACAGAAAAGTGGGAGGGGGAGGGAAAGGGAGCAGCATCTCCTGATTTAGTTGACGACAAACTTGTGGAAGCAGAAGAGTCCATGACTGAGGTTGAAGATAAAACATCTGAGGTTTGACAGGAAAGCTTAGCCTTCAACGCACACTGTTTTGCTCTCTCCAGAACCTGCCCCTCCTACCCTGCTTTACTGCTCTTTCAAGCCTTTTTTCTACCTGCCATCCGAAACTATAAGGAATTGTGGATTTGGTCAACTGGTCTCTGAATGCAATTGACACTATACTTTCCACATTAAAGGATCCCTGATTAGTTGTAACATTAGACTTTATTTGATAAATATATATTTTAACTGTAAAATAAAGACTGTAAAAATACTGTAGGATGTTTAGTTTTATAAATTTTAAAAAATATATTTCAACATGGGCAGAGCCATTTTATTTGCACACAAAGCATTCTGGGTAAATGATGACGTGGATAGGTCCTCAGTGTGAGCGAGCTATATCCACCCTGAAGGTTAATCTTGGACAATATCTGACAATCGACGCTTTTAAATGAAACCGGAGAGCGTTGACAGAGAGGAGAAGGTAGAAATGACTCAGCCTGGAACTGAAAATATGGATGGAGGACAACAGAGCTGCTTCATGGAAGAAGAACCTCAGCTTAGCCTGTTAGCTTTCACACTGGCGCCGATGCTATGGCTGTGTCCAAAACAACAGGCCGGGTCCTCCGGAGGACCAAGACTACCCGGTCGCGGTGGGCCGGGTCCTTGGTAGACCGGGAAGACCGGAAAAAAGAGGCTGTGAACTTGGACATTCTAGCCACCCCTCCTTACACTGGCGTACATCATGTCACCTAGCAACTGTGATGACGCTAAACAATAGGCAAAAGGCCTGAAACTCTCAGACTGAAGAAGTCTCTTGGAAGAGAGACGAAACGTTTCATTAAAGAAGAACCCGTCCAGAGGACCTATACAATTTTTTTCCTTTTGATCTTTGTCCATAGTTGTTTTTACAGAAGATAAACCTAGTATGAATTGTCCCGGATCTTTACAAATCCTACATTTCAATATTCTACTCATCTCTTTTGTTAGACACCCCCAGAATTGTGATATTTTTGAGCAATCCCAGAACATGTGCATATAGGTACCATCTGTTGATTTACATTTAAAATACAATGATGATCTGTTTGGATCCATTTTATTCAAAACATAAGGAGTCCTTTGTTGCCTGTGAAGTATTCGATATTGCATTTCTTTATGTGTGTTACTAAGAAAAAGTGAGTGAGTTAATTGAATACACTTTTTCCACGATTGTTGATTATATTTTTCTTTAAGATCTTTTCCCAGTTCTTAACAAGTTTTTCTGTATTATGTTCATTGTATTCCTGTATATGACTGTAACAATGTCCAATGAACCCTTTTTTTAACTTATAGTCAAGCAAAAACTTTTCCATTGGGTTCATTTGAATTATGTCTTGTGGTGATTTAAGATATAAGTGAATGAAATGTCTGATTTGTAATTATGCAAAAAAAATCTTTCTGTGGAAGTTTATATTTATATTGTACTTGTGAGAAGGACATTACAATACCATCAATGTGTAAGTCACCTAGTCACCTTATACCAGTCACAAACCATCTTTGAAACACACCACTTTTAATACCAGGGATAAATTCCCCATTGTTTATAACTGGTGTCAAATAAGAAATGAGGTTTTTACCACAGTATTTATTCATGTCCTGCCAAATCTTAATTGGGTTTTGCACTAATGGGTTAGCTACACACCCAGGAATTTTTTTGTTCATAATCCTAGCTATTAGTGAATATGAAGAAGAGTCCCAAGATTCCAGTGGGTCCTCCAGTCCTTTTAAGTAGCTATGAATCCATTCATAGATGAGACGGCTATGACAAGCCCAGTTATAGTGTATAATATCAGGAAAAGAAAGACCATCTTTATCTTTGGGTAATTTTAAAGTATTTAAACTCAGTTTAAACTCAGTCTAGATTTTTACCTTTCCATATAAATTTTGATAGATTCCGTTCAATTTCTTTAGCTAATTTTTTAGTTATATAAATAGATAACATCTGGAGAGGGTAGAGGAGCCGTGGCGTGATGTTAATTTTAATAAGGTTTATTCTGCCCATCCATCTATTAAGGTCCTTTTTTATATTTGTAAGTACTATGTCCATATTTTTTAAAATGCTTTTGATATTTGGTGTTATATGAATTCCGAAGTAAGTGAATCCCAAGGCAGACCAAAAAAATGGAATTCTGGACAGCGCATCATGAGCTCCATCTTCACCCAATGGCATAGCAATAGATTTATCATAGTTGACCTTGTAACCTGAGATGGACCCAAATGTTTGTATGACTGGCATTATAATTGGTATAGAGTTGTCAGGGTTAGTAACAAATAATAAGACGTCATCAGCATAAAGTATGATTTTATGTTCCATATCTCCAAGTTGATAACCCATTTTGTCCTTGTGTTCTCTAACGGTCTCTGCAAACGGTTCAATCGCTAATGCAAAAATGAGCGAAGATATGGGATCACCTTGCCGAGTTGATCTTCCTAAAGAAAACTCACCTGATTTATGGCCATTTACGAGCACCTTCACTCTGCGCAAACGATATAAGAGTTTTATTAGCTCTATAAAACTTTCTCCCAAATCAAATTTTGCCATGACAGTAAATAGGTATGGCCATTCTACACGATCAAAGGCCTTTTAAGCATCAAGTGAAATGACCAGGGGTCTCATGTACAAAGAATTGCGTGGATTTCACTGAAATGTGGCGTATGGTCAAATCCAGAAAACGGCATATGCTCAAAAAAATCCAGATGTATCAAACTGTGTGCATGCCTGAAACAATGCACATTTCTTTCGTACATCCCAAACAACGTGGAACTGAGCGCACGTGAGACACCTCCTCGACACGCCTTCATTATATGTTAAACAGATGCAAATCACTTCCTGCAGTGTGTGAAGGATAGGTTTGTTTGATCCCTACGCGATAAGAAAGGATTTCCAGAGTCGGGAAAATAATGATTTTATTATAATGTGAGTGAGAAAATATATACTAAGTAAGAATAGGTATAAAATATGTTTATCACGCAAAGAACGAGTGATTGTGTGGTGTGTGTGTGTGTGTGTGTGTGTGTGTGTGTGTGTGTGTGTGTGTGNGTGTGTGTGTGTGTGTGTGTGTGTGTGTGTGTGTGTGTGTGTGTGTGTGTGTGTGTGTGTTTATCTTTTCTCACCTGAGATTCCAGCTCAGTAACCTCCAAGTTCAGTTTGTTCAGGTGTTTGTTCACAAAGGTGATAAGTGACTGGAAAAATCATTCAGAATGTTTTGTTAATATTCTCAGCTTAACGTTCAAATAACAAGAATCTAAAACAACATTCTGAACATAGTTGTCACTGTTTTATTACCGATTTGACAACATTGAGCTTGTCAGGAGCATGATCCAATAAAGTGTCAAACGCGTCCCTCTCTGTTGAAACAATAAAACAGATTCAAAGTCTTGAAAACAACTGTCTAATTACAGACAATAAACACCAATCTTATACCTGCATTAAAATACAAGCAGATGGTTACATTTAACAGAAATGTGGCTTTTTTGTTTAAAATGTTTCTTGTCAACCAATGTCATTATACTCATTTTAAAATTAGACCACTTTTTTAACCTTTTTTTAAGTTGCACCCGGGCATGTTTAAGATGCAAAAAGTACTAGAGTTATTAAGAGTTGTTTTTAATGTTTGAGCTCTCTTTTTGGATTCTACTAATTAGATTTGATGTTAGATTTTCCCATGTTTGGAGGTGTTATTTCATGTTTTATAGAAGTGTGTTGTAGATTTATTCCTCAACACTTTGCCAAATCATGACCTTTTTTTCCCTCTGCGAGGTGTTTGTGAAGAGAGTTACTAAAGCAAAGCAACATTTGAAATAATTTGTGGAATAAAAGCAGCTTCGACTCACCGAATCGTCCCAGCATCATTCTAGAAAAAAAAATAGATATCATTTTTCTCTTTCTAATCAGTTTTTTTGTCTATCATAAAGCGGCACCTCAAACTCCAATGCTGGAAAATATCAGGTTGATGTTTGTGACGGAAAATCTTACTCTGTAGTGCTCGTCAGCTCTTTGGTAACTACAGCCGTCTGCAGCATCCCTTCTCTCTTCTGCACAGAAAAAAAAGTAACTCAGTTTTGACATGAAGGAGTAAATATTATCAAAGATGCACATGTTCAAAATCACAGGGTCATTTAAGAAATTAATAAAAACTCCATCTCAGTCTAATCCACACCTGGGCAACATTTGACAAGAAGTGGCTTTTAGACCTAAAAGACCTTAAGTAAATAAATAAAAAGCAGGATGTTTAAATCAATGAAAGTTCTGCACAATCATTTGTGGCAGTTTATAACAGACAGGGCTTACTATTCAAAAACAATAGGTCTAATAGGTCTAAATGTTATTTACCAGGTTTGCAATGTTATAAAAACAGACTTAAAGAAAAAGAGGAAAAATTGTGGCTCTTGATCTTACACTTTTAACCAACAGTTGATGTCTAATTTTACTATTGTGTCCGTTCCTATTTATTCTGCTGAAGACTATTGTTGTATACCAAGCATGTGAACTAGGCTGCAATCTATTGATCAATGGAAAAATAAACAAACAGGTCCTGAAATCTGTGTTAAAATAACTGAAAAAAAGTCTACAAATATGCATCAAATGATAGCAGACTACTTTTACTTTGCTGTTATTTAACATAGATGAAGGTTCACAAAGGGTTTCAATGGTTCAGTTCTTTGTTTGATCTCCTGACCTCTTTAACTTAAACACTTTTTCTTTTGCTTTAATTTCAGGTCATATTTGTGTTTTCTCTTGTTTTTTGTCTTATTCCTCATTATTACTGTGCTTGCTAAAAATTAGACTTACATGACTTTAAAGACAGAAAATACATTTGAATATATAATTTAAGGGTTGTACTAATGGATTCAACACATTGGTGGACAACATTACCTTGACCACCACCACCTGGACAGAGACGTGCTCAGGTAATCTGATGGGGGCCTGAAAGTGCATGGCGAGAGCAACCAGCAGGTAAACAATGGCCACCAGGTTCTTGGAGTGGATGGCTGCAGAGATGATAAAGAAGAGTCGGTTAGAAGAATAAATAACTGCATTTGTCAGGATCAGGGTGTTAGGGTCTGTATGTTTCTTCTCATCCTGTGTTTCCAGATGTAATCAGTCTATTTCCTCAGTCAGTTCGGCTATTGTGCTGCAGCTCCGCCCACTCTCACCTGTTCTTCATCCTTCCCAGGTGTCGCTACTTATCAGCACCAGTCTGTGTATTCTGTTGGGTTTCATTCATTCAGCAGTGGAGAATTGTTGGTTTTGTGACACGTCCTCCTTATATTCCTCATGCCTCTTTGTGTTTTTCTCCTCTGTGACTCGTTGTTTTGTGAGCAGGTTTGTTTTGTTTAGTATAATATTAGGCATCTTTTTAAGCACCTTGTGTTAATTAGCTGAACAGTGACATCTTTATTTGTTGTGAAAATGTTTCCTTCAAACCCAGCACTAGCCTGGTAAAAACCAGACCCTCTGTCCTTCACTTTGCTTCGTACAAAGGGTCTGGACTCGCTGCTACAGAGAAGTGATTCTTGCTGGAGGCGTGGCCTCTGCTCAAGTCGCTGTGAAGGAGGCTAAGCTAAGAAGCTAACCGGAAATTGCGTGTGCTGTAAACAACCCTACTGAGAGAAGAGAAGTACCGAGTCAAACGAGACGACTGTAAATGAAAGCTGCTGCTTTGTCAGACAAATTTATTTTAATTTGGAAGCCTTATCAAACACAGACTGGCTTCATTCACTTCCTCCACTGCCGTATGCTAAACTAACTAGCAGACACTGCGCAGAAAATCGACGTCGTTCAAAACGCCGCCTTCTGTTTGTTGATTGGCCCAGGTAAAATAAAATACTGTGCAGAAAATAGACGTTCTGTTCTCTGATTGGTTCGGCTAAAAATCTGCCAGCAAAATCCTTGTCTATGGGAGAAATCCCAGACGGAGCAGAGAAGGGAAACTAGAATTGAGCGGAACTGCGTAGGAAGGCTAACCCAGCACATATCATCATTCAACAAATAAGAAACTATATTTCCCAAATATCGCATATGTCTAAAGGATGGTGATATACTGAGATACAAACGGTTGTAAAAAATCCAAGCACAAACCAATCTGTGTTAAAACTCACAGTCCACACTCCACTCAACGGTCCAGCCGTGAGGCCTCAGCAGATGGTTGACCGCCTCCAAAACCGTCTGAAGCTTCTGCTTCTGTCCGATCTCAGACTGAGTGACCTCGGCTACGTTTAGCTTCCGGCCCGACAGCTTCTCTGTTACCGAGGGGGAAACAGAGACCTGGTCAAACCCACAGTTTAGACAGAGAAAAGAATTGTGAACTTGGCTGTGTTGGAATTGAGTCAAAATGCCTAGAAAAACAAACAACAAACAATTTTTTTTTCAAATTCATAAATAAAATTAAATTTAGGGTCATAATTAATAAAATTATAAATAAACCAATGGATAATTTTTTTCATCAGAGATTGAGGACAAATCTGCATCAAAGGTAAGTGAAAAACTTTTATTTTGTTTTATTTTATTTTATTTTATTTTATGCTGGTGGTTTTATAAGCTGTGTGTATTGTAATGCTTTGAACAAAGTAAGGATATACTAGTTTTTTTGTTGTGTTTTGGCTATCTGTTGGTGTAGATTTGCTGAATGTCCTCCAGCTGGTATTAAACTGATATAATTATTGCTATTTTATTTTGTATTTTAATCATGCTGGAGAATAATGCAGTGAAAACTTGTAAAGTAAAAAAATACTTTTACTTTTACTTTTAGTAAGAGTAATATTTGATGATTAGCTCAAATGTTCAAATATCATTTCACATAATAATAAGATAAATGTAGGATCAATACCAAAAGCAAAAGAGGTGAAAACGGGTGTTTAAAGAGAAAGCAAGAAATTTTCTGACACTTTATTAATAATAATAATGGTGATATTAGTCTTACTGTGGATATTCTACAATTCATTAGCAGAATTCTAAGACAAAACTAAAAATTGAGATGATTTAAATCCAAGCTGCTAAATTTTAAATTCCAGAGTGTTTTGTTTTGTAAAGCTTCCTACAGTATTTCTGGTCTTAAAGTTGCAGTGACAAAAGTCAGTCAGAAGAGGGAAGTCCCAAACAGCTGCAGAACTAAAGTCCAGGCCACGTTTTCCATGATGTTGCCCAAACATTTATTTTACACGGAGGAGGTGAAGCTAGAGAACTGAAGAGTAAAACGTTTCTGTGAAACAATACATGATCACTAATATCACGTAAAGACATGAAAGTTTCCTACCAAACAGCTTCTGAAGCACCTGTCCATCATAACAGTCCTCCTCTAGGTCCTTCACAATGATCCTCTCCTCCTCCAGCTCACTGTTGATCCAGTCAACCAGAACCTACAAAAATTAAATAAATAAAAAAATAGACTCTCCCAGGTTTGTCTTTCACTCTGAACACACAGTATTGTTCTCCCAGTGCAGGAGATCTGAGCCCTGAGTACCTTTAAAAGATCTTTAAATTTAAGGTTTTCCCGAGAAGTGGGGTCCATCATCATCCGTTCAGCATTCTCCTCTGTGGAAAACAAAATCAAGCAAATAAAGACCAAACATATAAGTGAGAATTTATTCTTGAGATTTATTGTCAAGTATTGTTCCAACAAAGAAATAACCAAACACTGATTTCCTTACTTTTTGTGCTAAATTTAATTTTATTGTTTCATTCCGAATTCTTCCAAGTTCCTCATACATGCATGTTTTGCCAAACAGTGGCACAAACAATGACACAATGTTTCCCTCACACTTATGTCAGTGGTGATTTCTCATGACTGCTGAAGGCTTCACACACTCCACCCACTTTCATTTCCTGCTGCTCCAACTGTGGAAACCTTCGTCAGTCAAAACTCATCAGCAGATTCATATCGCAATGACCTCTGACACTGACTTCAGAAATGAAACCATTCAAACCATTATCAGCTATAAATATTCACCTTTAAACATATCTTGTGTGTAATATATAGTGTTTTTGTTTGTTTAAGTAGAAAACGCCACACGAACCCAGCAAAGTGTCTTCTGGATGGATTTCTGTTCCTGCAGGAAGCAGTGGTGCATTGATGGCATTCCTCCCCTCTTCGTGGCGATCACTCACTGTGGAGACAACAACACACAAAACTATTAGGGTCTTCAGAACAATACAAATTTTAAAAAATAAAAAGATAAATAAAGACAGACTCAAATGGGCACAGGGCTGAGAGAAAAGAAAGACAAGAAAGCAAACTGGTAGTAGTGTCAGTGTACCACAAAAAACTTAATAATTACAGAGGTTTTACAAGTTTTAGTCATTTAACTGATTATTTATGATAGTCTTTAATGCAGAGTAAGTGCTGCAAGAAATTCTGATAAATGTATACTTCTTATTTTATAGGATTTTTTGTTCTGCTTTGTGACATGGAGGTGAACCATCTGCAGGTGAGTGAAGGGAAGCTGAAAAGTGCAAAAAACAGAAAAAACAACAGACCATGTGCAGCAGACAACAAAAATTTCACAGTACAGAGACACCATGTCACCTCAACAGAGAACCTTATCAGATGTTCAGACAAACTTCACAATTTATAAGAAGTTTAGCTTTTGAATTTAGATGATTCATGAAATTATTTGATCTGAAAATGCTGAAAACTCAAAGAAATCCCTAAAACATTTTAAGTAAAAATTTGGATCATTTGGAGTGGCTGTGGCAGAGTGGTTAGGGGAGTCATCCCTCGTTAAAGCTGTCTCAGTTCTTGTGTCCTTGGGCAACACACTGAACCCCCACTGCCTCTGATGTGTGTCCCATCAGTGTATGAATGTGATTGGCACTGATTAGTCTCCGGCAGAGTTGATTGTACATGTTAGCTTTGTAGAGACCTAATAGAGTGCTGTGTGAATGGGTAAATAAGGACACAGATTGTAGTGTGAAGAGCTTTGCGTGTCCTGGTTGGAGCTGTACAGTCCATTTACCATTTGAAACTTGGTTTCTGTGAACAGGTTATGAACACTTAAAGGGGCACTATCATGTAAAATCAACTTTTTTGAGTTTTATATCATGTTATAATGTTATACTCTCAGAAAAACATGCTCAAAGCCTTGCCTTGACTTATTCATGCATGTTTGAGAAATCCTGCAGCGTTTTTAGTAAGCCATGCTGAGGAGCAAAACGACAGGTGGCGACCAGAAATGCCTTTTGGTACCAGGAACACCCCTGGGGAGTGTTTTTAAGCCTAGCTTCCTCATGGCAGAGCCTCTCCCCCCCCCTCCACACTGACTCCTGCAGGCTCTCGGGTGAAAGTGAAAGTGAAACCTGTCTGCTGAGCTCCTAAAATTAGTTCTCACTCAGTGAAGCTCTTTTCAGATCAAAAATACCTTTGAGGAGATGTATTT